TGCAAGTACAAAGTTTTTATAACTTGCAAGCCATCAAATTTCACTGGGAAGGAAGATCCGATCGGAGTTATGGATTGGATCTCGGAGATGGAATTAGCCTTCATGACATGTGGTTGCAAGGGTAAGCTACAAACCACGTTTGCAGTGCGTCAGTTCAGAGGACGCGCTGTTCGCTGGTGGAACACCCTGGAGAAGACTCTAAGCCCCAATGAGCCCCTGCAACTGACTTGGGCAGAGTTTTTGGTGCATTTCAAGCGCAATTATTGCTCAGCCCAAAATCTGCTCGAGCTAGAAAACCAATTCCTGACTTTGAAGAAAGGAAGCATGTCCATTGATGAATACACCAATAACTTCACGGACAAAATGGATTTTGCTTTGCGCCTTGTCCCAGACGAGCTGAAAAAAATCGACAAGTACACAAAGGGACTTCCCTGGGAGTATGAGGTGTCGGTACGTCAGACACCTACTTTAGAGGCAGCTATCTGGGCTGCCAAGTCTGTTGAAGATATGATCAAGGGAAGAGCCGCCAGCAAGGTTGAAGTTGGCGATAAGAGAAAGTTTAAAGGATCCATAAGGTCCGACGAGAAGAGAATATTCTTGAAGTCTGGAGAAGGAGAACAATGGTGTGACAAGTGCAGAAGGAAGCACATTGGGAGATGCTCTAAAGAGATGACCTGCTTCAAATACGGAAAGACAAGTCATTATGCCAGCGAATGCACAACCAAGAGAGAAGTCTGCTTTAAGTGTGGTGAAGAAGGACACTTCAAGCAAGACTGCCCAAGGAGAGAAGAAGCCGCAAAGCCAAATGTGTTGCCAAAACCAAAGGCAAGAGCATTTCAAATGATCCTTGATGAAGAAGGTGACAATGCAAGGAATCATGAATAAGGATTTTATATCCAAAGATCAAGATATGAAGTAGTCGTACGGATATTATCGTATGATGTAGCCTATTAGAGGCATAGTCTAGGGTGAACTTGAACACCTATGTAATCGTTTCAAGGAATAATATAAAACCTTCGTTTTGCTATCTGATGTGTTAAGCTGTTGTGCGATTTTCTTGTATGGTGACTTGGAAAACTGCGAGACAATACTTGGGACAAGTATGAGTAGGTGTGAATGGTAGTAGAGGCCTATACTACCGGAAGCACAAGACTCACACTTGGATCAGGGAAAGTCACAAGGTTACCAAGGCGCTAGTAATTGATTTTGTTTTGTTCATGCATGTCGTTACCATCGTTTCGGTAATGAGTAAAAAGATGATTGTTGTTCCGACCCAAGTGGTTATACCAAATCGAGTCCGACTAAGATGAGTATGTTAAATGGTTCAGAGAACCAAGTTCGATGTTGCATCTGACTTAACACAAAAGATTGAAATAAAGGATAAACGAAGCGATCAGTAGAAGTACTGTGATTTTTGTTAAAGTAAGAAGATTGTAGCTAGAAGTGATATATGCTAGAATGTGATTATATCACATTAGAACATGAAGGAAGGTATAGTCTGTTCTGGAATTTGACTCTAAAGGACCCGAGTCTAAGCGCCGCATCATACGATGAGAGGTCATTAGAACATGACCCATTCGTCCATGGTGGTAATCAAAGAACTTATCTTAAGTTTGTTAAGAAGGAGTATCCAATAAGGAATCGAGATTGTGATTCGAAGGTCATGATTGGAAAACTAACGTGAGATAGAGTGTGGGTGCACGATCGAGTACTGCTTGTAGTCAATAAGTCTAAGAGATAGATAATGATTCGAAGGAATATAGAAGTTACGATTATTATCTAGCATGAAGAGATAACGTATGGAGTCATTATACAAGCCCTGTTTTGTTGATGATTTCGGGACGTTATCATCCTAAGGGGAGATAATTGTAACGCCCGCAGATCTGGGCTAGTCAATTTAGAGACAATGAGCATCAAAACAAGTTTTTGATGGAAGATTATTTAGAAGGATTAATCTTAATCATGTTATAGTATATGTTACAAGGGTTCCGTACATATAAAGAACACCGAAATCTGAGTTATAACGAAGAAGTTATGGCACGTCAAAGTTTTACGGCGAAAACGGCACGACACCGCGTAACGTAAAAAGTGAATTTTTGATAAACTAATTTTTACCCTTAGATATCTAAATGAAAGTTGTAATATACGTTAAACCAAGAGTGTGCATAAAAAGAACGTCAAAATCTGACTTCGTATGAGGAAGTTATGATTTTTCTAAGATTTGGCATAGCAGTACATAGCCCGAAATTCGAATTTTAGATCGATTGATTTTTGGCCAACGCAACCTAAATGAGAATTGAAGATCTCATTAATAGTAGCTCAACGGTAAAAATACAGACGAAAACGGACATTGGATGAATAAGTTATGAACTTTTAACGGACTTTTCCTGTCCCGACCTGTTAAAAATATAACTTTAAAAATAAATTCAAAATTAGCCGATGGAGTCTAAATGAAAGTTGTAGAGTATGTCTCCACCTACGCGTGGATATAAAGAGCGTCAAAAACGGAGTTTGTATCAACAAGTTACAAATTATAATAGTATATTTACGTATTAAAATAAAGTATAAATCATATATATGTACACATATATATACATATATATAAATCATTAGAAAGGTATCGAAGATGCGGTCATTATAAGACTAGTGTTGAATACTTTCGACATTAGTTTATTACAAATATCGTTAAATCTATTTAAAACAGTATTATAAAGGGGTGTTTGGTTGTTTTTATAACTATAAGGTCATTAAGTAACTATGAGGGTAGTTTTTGAAAATTCAATTACTATAAATAAGAGTCTTGGGCTCTCATATTTCTTGCACCATTCTCTTGATTCAAGAGTCTTTCTCTTCTTATCCCCCGAGCATTTCGGTCCCTCGTGATTCGACTTCTCCTTCTATAGTTTTAGTATAGTAAGGTGAGCGCTGAAGCGCTACACGAATCTTTCTTAGAAAGATTCAGTGACAAAGTTCTGCCCCTGCAGAGCCCGACTCCTAGCTAAAACCCCCTTGTAAGTAAGTTATGGTTACCCTATTTTAATATAGCTTATATTTAAAATTAGTATTGTTATTATGAACTTATAATAAATATTTGGGCTATTATTATGACTTATATAAGTGTCGTTATAATAGCTTTTAAACTACTCGCGTTACGGGGAATCTGGTTAAAAGGGCCGCATAGGGTTGTTGGATTTCAGAAGTGCTATATGCCAAAATGGTCCTGCCCTCCGGTGTTTTATGTCTGGCCCCTGTCTGTACATAGTGGTTGGAAAATATTGTTTAAAAGATTATATAATAATAATAATAATAAGACTAATAATTAGTCACGGTAAATATTAGACTAAAATCTAGTGGTAATAATAATACTAGGTTTCGTCGAAAGAAATTATTTTTAAGAAGCGAAGCGCTGTCTGAGTTCGGAATCACCACCTTAACAAGTGAGTGCATAGTCCCTTTCATTAACATGATTTTAATACAAGTATTGATTGAAGTATTAAATATATGTTTATGTGCGGATTATTTGATGTTGCCTGAGATACGTGTTAAAGAACATACCTGATAATATATTCTGATTTAGGATAAAGAGTAAACTTAAATTAATTATAAGGAATATTGGGTAGTATCTTCTTATGAGTACGAGTGAGATATACACGAAGAATAGAACTTTAAAATATGTCATTGATCTGGGAGCATGGATTAGACATAGTCATTGTCCCTAGTCCGAGAGTATGGATCAGACATAGTCAATTGTCACTAATCTGGGAGTATGGATTAAGACATAGTCAGTTGTCCTTAATCCGGGAGTATGGATAGGACATAGTTATTTGTCATTAATCCGCGAGTATGGATTTAGACATAGACATTTGTCCCTAGTCTGAGAGTATGGAATGGGCACAGTTATTGATCCGAGTGCATGGATTAGATCCGAGAGTATGGATTAAATAAAGAGGTAAAGTTTAAGGTCTGAGAGTATGGATAGTGTCGTTGGGAGGAACAACGGGGTGGGGTAAGAGTTGCTTATATATACATATGGTGAAATTGTATATTTTGTGAGTTCTAAATTATATATATGATATAACATTGTGGGATTGAAATCCCTATGTACTCACCAGGTTTCCCGACGTGACTCACTCAAGTTTATTTGTATCACAGGTGTCGATATGAAGTTACATTACGCTGAGAGATTAAGGATATATAAATCACTAGTGTTAATGAATGTAAGTTCTGTTTATGCTTATCTTTCTATATTGACGATGACATCCCAACGTTTTAAAATGAATAAAATACATTTCTTCGGAAATGCTTTGATAACGTATTTATCATGTTTTTCTGGGAACAAATTCCGCAACACTTTTCTTTAAAAGGTTACTCTGATTTTGAAACAAAGCATAAACAAATCGGATCTTTTCTGGCCGTAAAAATGGGATGTCACACATATACCTATATAATATTGTTAAAGGTATAATCTTGTATTATAATAATTTGATAAGAAAAACATAATTAGGCATCATTATTCTATTAGAATAATATAACAAGTTGCATATACCTACATAATATTCTTACATGTATAATCTTGTATTATAATAATTTGATAACAAAATCATAATTTTTTTAGAGTATTATTCTAAGAATAATATACATGTTGTCTTTAGAAATACAATATTCTAACAAAATAATGTTATAGGCATCATTATTCTATTAGAATAATATAGCATGTTGCATATACCTATATAATATTCTTACATGTATAATCTTGTATTATAATAATTTGATAACAAAACATTATACTGCAATATCATATAAAGACTATTTGTATACTTCAATGCAAAAATTAAAGATTGAAATATTAGAAGAATCAATATGTTTTCAAATGTCTCATACATCATCACAAATGAAATATCCGAAAAAGTCCAAACTAAAGAAATTCGAACATTTTTTCTAGATGGTATTATTGAACTTATTCAAGTACGAAAAAAATCAAAATATATTTCTGGACACAACTATGCACTTTGTACCTTGGAGTTATTAAGCAATGGCAAACATTTCCTTGAATTATACCCTTTAACCCCACATGGTTTGCATGATCTCGATTGCTTGTTACCTTGAATAGTAGCTTTCTCCAAAGCACTTTTTAAACATTTTCCTGTACCAGAACCTTTATGCTTCACTATAGTCAGATTTTCAATGTCAACAACTTCAGGATTCGTAGTAGCTCCGTAAAGTTTATCAATATCAGCTTCTTTTGCAATCAGTGATTTGTATGAAACTTCAGTCATAAAAACTTATATTTATTTTCATTAACTCTTCTTACTTCTTGCCATCATTACTTAATGAAGACAAGCATTGATCAAGCATGGAAAAGATTTGTATACAACCATCTCAACATTTCCGAAAGAATCGCCATATATAAATATCCTTTTCAAAACTTTTGTGGGGATAATATCTCTTATCCACCTATTAAGAATGTATCTTGATGGAATCTCTTTTATGTCATAAATCTTTAGAATACATAAGATGTGTCAACAAAAAATTCCAAATCGCTCCAAAAGCATGCATGAACATTTCACCATTAGATCTTCTCTATTAAATTAAACCTGTTTCAAAAGTAATAGAACATTAAGTATGATCAAAAAAGAAAAATTAGAATAGTTTTCAAAAGTATTAGAATATTAACTATATTCTAAAAAGAAAAATTAGAATATTACAAAACTTTTTTAAAGACAATAATTTAGTAATCAAACATATAATATTATGATAATAAAATGTCAATATTACCTCGAAATCACCATCAGTTGTGTTAATATTCCATTCACAATCGTTGTCAACCTTTTCTTTTCAACTACTATATTATTTTTTGATAGATTTGTATTTTTTGTTTGACAATGCATATGTCAGAAACAAAGCCTGAATTAACACTCTTTTGTGAACAAGAAACAAATGAATGAAGAATCTCCCTCTACACCATCAGAAAAATATTTCTGGTGTATATCATAGATGCATGCTTCTCCATATCTTCAAGAGGTGTTTTGATGATTGGAATTAGAGTAGATGTATCAAAATCAAATTTGATCTGACTATTCCTTTTCCTTTCCATAACAGACTCAAAAGCATTCATGAAATTGTTTAAAGTATTACCATGATGAGATACCCTATTGAATGATGAATTCTCACTTTCCGACCGAGAATGTAACCCCCCATTTTTACCATTCCATAGGATTCAATATAAACAAATCTTTATATAATTCGAAGTAAAAATATATTACTCTTTAAGCCCACGAAAAAAAATAGGATAAATAAATTGAATCGTCCGTAAATTGTAAAAATGAGTGCGCCAAAACACACACACACACACACATATATATATATATATATATATATATATATATATATATATATATAAAGAAAACATCGTCTTGATCCTAAAAATATAAATTTCATAGAAATCCAACTCCGTATGAATTAGATATCATTATTATAAGATATAAAAGTCAGCCGCATACAATGCATGTGTGACATAAAAATCTACGAATAGAATGATTGACTTTTGGGTAAAGTCAGTAAAAGGAAAATTGCAGTACTCTTTAATATAGGAATTTTGGTAAAAGGATCACCAAAATCAAAGTTCGTATGAGAGAGTTATGATTTTTGCAAAAATATTAAATCATATAAAATTAAGGGCTAAAAATAAATTTAGAATTGGCAAATGGAGCCTAAAGGAATGTTGTAGTACTCGTTGAGAGCTATGCGTGGTAAAAAATAACGACAAAAACGGATTTCGTACGAAGAACTTGTGGAATTTACAAAATCTATGTTTTGCGCAGCGTGCGGTGCGTGCCGTGTGCGCGACACACGCTTCTAGAAGGTGAAAACATGGGCCACAGAGTGCTTGAAACGTGGCACAAAGTGGTTGGCGAGATCTTACCTTAAAATGCACGACGTGCACCCCGTTTGCACACCGCGCACCCCAAAATGGCCTATAAAAGGGCAGCAACCCTCATTCTCTCCCTCACACCTCTCCAATCGTTCTCTCTCGACAATCTCTTGATTATAGCCTTATTTTCCTTCGTTTCTGGCCTGCCACAAAGTCCTACGACACAGCTGAGTACTCATCTGAGTAGTAGTCTTCGAGTAGGAGGTCCCGAGTCAGTATTATGTCTGCTTAGATCCCGGTTCTCATCAATAGTACTTTGTAATGAGCTACACTTACTCTACCTCCGTGTAATTTATAATTATAGTCATAGTAGTTATTATGAACCTATAATTAATATTTATCAATAATTCCATGATATAATATTGATTAATCTACTTGCAGGAGAGGTCTCTAGAATGGTCATTTTGGCTTGGTTGCTGGATTTTAGAAAAACTCTATGTAGAAATGATCATGCTTTCTAACTGTCCTGCCTGGTTGATCCTTACTTGATAGATCTATTAGTATTCATCGACATTAATGATAGGTCTAGCCTACGTTACCAGATCGTCGTAGAAATTAAAAAGTTATAGTATTATAGGTTAATACTCGTTAGGCATATTACCCGTCTGTTGGATCACCGATCGCATCGCCCAGATCCTGTCAATCGTCTAAGTAACTGTCTAGGTGATTTCATCTTACTATATTATGTATTCCAGTATATATCCGTATATGAATATATGTTAGGATATATGAACCGGTAAAGTAGGGCCCATAATATAGTTTCTATGTGCCTATATTCGTAGAGCCGAATATGTAGTATCTATGTGCGTGATTGATGATATGGTTATAAGTTATTGCAAATATGTTTGGGGATGATGGTGAAACGACACTGAGGTTGGGATCCTATAGGCCTACGTTTTAACGAATTAGCATATAGGTCTTAAGTACACATTGATATGTGATAACGAAATGACATGTTGGTCGTAAGTACACGTAGACTCATGTGGAAGACAAATGACGTGTAGGCCGTATGTCCAAAATAGGTATATTGTTTGTATCCATGCATGTATATTGTGATATATAGTATATTAGGGGAACTCACTAAGCCTATCTCTTACTCAGTTGTTATAAATGTTTTTCAGGCACTTTATTGGTTCATGAGAAGGGCAAGGTTCGACTGTATTCATGTGCATTTACAATCATGTTTTCCGCATTATACTCTGATGTAATTGAATCTTCAATAAATAAAAATGAAAAAATTGCCTTTAAAAATTGGGACATAACAAAGAAGTTGTTCTTATTAGACCCGACATCGGTACATCTTTAAAATAAGGTGGAATCCAACTGCTTCTCAAATCAAACATATCTTTCATCCATTTATTGTCTTGTAAGTTATATTTTACCATTAATGCAACCCATCTCATATTAAAATCTTTCACAACAATTTTGGAGTCTCATACTATAATATTGAAGTCCACCTTCAAATATGATTCAGTCATTGTTTCCCAGCTTACCTTAAAAAACAATTCATATATTATTCTGTTAGAATATAGTACAGTATAAAAAGCAATTCATTTAATATGTTATTCTAATTACAAAAAATATTTCATTTAATATTATCATAAGAATATAACAATAATGCTATATTTATATTGAAAATTCAAAATTAGAATATATAACAGACAATAAAGCATAATATACAAAAAAAAATGAAAAAGTTATTACCTTCACCAGAAGTTTACTTGTGATATGTCACATACAAAATCTATGTCTTGTGTGTAGCAATACTATCTCAATAGGTTTTTTCATGTCTCACGACCATGATAGGTGCTTTTCCAAAACACTTCAAGAATGACCAAAGTAACCAAATATATAAATTTGTATCTTCTCTACACAGCAAACCAACTCCAAATGTGATGCACCCTTTGTGATTATCAATGCCACGAAAAGGTACAAACACCATACAATACCTAAAAGAACACAAACAAAAACCATTACAATATATAAGTAAAAAATGTTTAGAATTCTAGAATAAATACCTATTTGTACGATATGTTGCATCAAACAAAACAACATCCCCAAATAACTCAAAATCAACAAAGTTTCATCAGTGCCCCTAATGTGACAATTTATATCCCTTGTGAAAATTTTCCAGTATATCTCTAATCCACCAACAAATTCACATCCTCGTTTTATAATGCATGTTAGCCTATATGTTGTAATTGATCCAATCTTTGCATTCGAAAGCTTATGTATAAAATCTTGATCAAAAACATCCAACTAATGCTTAGATCGTTAAAGATACATACCATCTTGATTGCTGAATTTGTGGTTGTGCTATTGTTCAAAGCGCCATAGAGTTAAACTTATGAAGAACCTGGTATAACTTTGAATGCAAAAAAGGCTTTTTAATTTGTGCATTTACGATTATTATTTCTCAATTGCTTGTTATTATCATCACTAAGCGTGTCTAGAGTAGAAGTGTTAGGCAATACCCCTTTATTGCATATAAAATATTTCGAGGTTGTGATTCCATTGGTGTTCCTCTCTGTTAATTTTCTAATATCAAAACCAGATCTTAATGCATATCCTTTATACCACTTAATATAATCTTTCATATCTTTAAAAAATCAACCCATAGGAGGTATCCAACTAGCTTCAACCTCTAGAATACAAAAGATAGAACCATCAGCTCCAATGAATTGTTTTCAAGAGCCATATTGTGCTAAAACATTGTCACTTTGAACTATAAATAAAAGAATATACCACCATGTTAACATATAATCAGAATAATTTGAATTCATATGACTTTAATTATAAAAAAACAACAATGTTGTATGTTCATCATTCTATAAGAATAATATGCAGTAACATGAACTTTGCAGCAACATCAAGTTAATAATTGATACTAGTAAATATATGTTATATATTCTATGAGAATAACTCATATCAATAATAAAATTACCTTGGGTTTTCGATAGATTTTTCTCATTATGCAAAATCTATAAATCACCATAATTGAATTAATGAGTTTCTTCATCATGATGATTATTTCCGATGTCATGCATATCTAAATCATCCATAACTGAAAAACATATTTATTGAATGAAAGTTCAAAATCAAACAATGAAATAGATGATGTATTGCCAGATAACATATTATAGGTTAAAATGTGTTCTAGGTTAGATAATTCAACATATGATGTTTGATTGCAGAAAATCATGAATCATACATATATAAATTGGAGATATAGCTAATAACTTGATGATTCAATCAGTTCATGTTACTAGGTTAAAAATTGAATAAGTTATATACAAGTAACAATGAAAGCAATGATAACTCAAAAGTTGATCGATTGAATAACTC